AGAAAATAGGACAAGAAGCCATATTTGTCAATCTTCAAAAACACCCAGAAACAAAAATTGAGCTCCCCTTTGGACACCACCACTGGTAGTATATTATCAGTATCAAGATCAAAGAAACAGCACAACCCAGTTCAGATAGAAACGGCAGAGATGGAATCTACAGAGAAAGATGCTAAAGGAGAAAAATTTTGTCGAGTAATCAAGGTTTAGAGATTCTATTCAGACTTTCAAAGACATGGTTTTTGGATGTTTTATTACAAGTTTACAGCGTAAACACTGCAAGAAACAGTGAGAGATGAAGAGTAGAAAGAAGTGTTGGCGGTGACAGAAAATGCCCCCAAACGGTTATTAACAAAACGAAAATGTGTTTTTATAGAATAAAACAGTTGGACTATGTAATAGCGAATTCATTAACTAATTCAAAAGCAAACTCTGTGGAAGAAAAAAAAAAAAAAAAGAGATGAATTGGCAATAATTTAAGGATAAAATTCAATCATTTGAGTGCGTTTTCTTACTTAAGGTATTGTTTGGATTGGAGGTGTCGAACGGAAAGGGAGTGGAAGGGATGGGGACGGATGGCAAGGGAGGGGGAGCGAGAGGGAACTGTCTCCTTCCTTCTGTTTGGGTTTCCAAAGAGACAGAGAGGGAGGGGGATGGACTGATTCGGACTCCCTCCAACCACCCTCAAATTTGCAAATTTGCAATCCGTCTGATTTGGGGGTTTGGGAAGGATTTGAGTAACTGTTTAGATTAGGTTAAATGTAATTACAAAATTAACTTTAATTTTTTTATTATATCCTTCTCCATTACAAGTTTAAAGGATAAATTTGTAAATTTAAAATTAATTTAAATCTTTTCCTTCCTTCCCTTCCTTTTAACTTAATTATCTAAACATAAAATAATACAATCATTCCCTTCCCTTCCCCTTCCTCATTTTTATTTATCCAAACAAAATTAACACAAATCATTTCTTTCTATTTTCTTCCCTTCCCTTTTTTTTCCTCCCCCTCCATTTCCTTTTATTTTCCTCCATTCCCCTCCCTTCCCTTCCCTTTACTATTTTCTATCCAAACAAGGGCTAAAGGTGTCGCTAGTTAGGACGAGTTTGAAAACAATTTAAATGCAACGGCTATTTAACATGTACTAATAAATTACGAGAACTAAACAAAAATAAAAAAAAATATTATGGTCAAACTGATAACATGAACTTCTTGCTGGTTTGTTAATTTTAAGTACTTTTTTCTTTATTTTTAATCATTTTAATTTAGTTTTTATTTTTTATGTATAAATTATAAATAAAAAATTTAATCATTTATATGAATAATAATTAAATTTTTTATATATAATTTTTGTTGATTATTTTTATTTAATAAAAAATATTTTAATTATTATTTATATAATATATTAAATTTTAATTTAAAATTCATGTCTAAAAAATTAAAATGTTAAATTATAATTATTAAAAATAATGAGAAAAAGTAATATAAAAAAATTACTTTTTCAATTGCTCGATGATTTATCTTATTTGGTTAGGTGTATTAATTACACTTTTTATAATTAATTTGTAAAAAAATAAAAACTTACTTTAATTTATCAATTACTAAATTAAAATAATTCACATAAAACTAGTATTAAAAATAATATTTCATTTTACATTTTCTTATAAAAACTTATTATAAAAGCATCTAACTCTTGAGGCTCAATGGCATTACCATTGAACAGGTGCACTCTCCCTCCCCTGAGCAGCTCCATGGTAAAATGTTCAAAAAAAATAAACTTATCATAAAAAGTTTAATTAATGTACTCTTAACCTATAATTTCAAAAATACAAGATGAACTCCCCCATTTGGCCGAATGGATGGGCCATGCTACTCAATGAATAGTAAGTGGAGTTTGCCTGATCTTGGTTCGATTCTAATCCTGAACAGATACTAATTCACTAATCTAATATTCCTTTTGTCAAAAAAAAAAAAAAAAGATACAAGGTAAAAAAAAATAATATTTAGCTCTCATTCCTTTCTTTTCTATATGATAAATGCAAAATTCTTTATATATGCATTAGTTTATAAAAAAATGATTTCTCTAATTTGTATCTTAAGAGTATAATTAATTTACTTTTTTGATATTAATTGGTATAGACTATAACAAAAGCTAATATTAATTTTATCGCTAATGTTATATGTATTATTTTAATTAGATAATTGATTAAATAAATATTAAATTTTATTTTTTAAGGACAATTAATACTAAAAAAATGTTTTTAACCGCCCAAGTTAAAAAAACCCTTAAAAAAAAAAAGGAATGATTCTGGGTAATGGCAATAACATTTTTATGGGGTAGTAAATAAATTCCAAATTCTGCAAATTTCTGAATTACTGCCCCTATGTTGGATATGATATGAGAGGATGTTGGTCTAGTCTCTTCAATTGTCTTTTTTTTTTTAGGAAAGTCTCTTCAATTGTTTAATAGAGTTGATATAGAAACCCTTAATATATATATATAAGCACAATT